AAGAGAAACCGCCTGCAACTTGGCCGGTCGATTGAAATTTCTGCCCTTTGTATCACATTGCCGAATGTGGATCACTGTCAATTATTATTATGATTATGATGCATGTTCTTTTCAGTGCTTCTATTATGCACCAGTTATCGGCAAAGTTACAAGACAACAACGCCTTACTCGGACCGCCTTTGTTTGTCCGCAGGCGAAGTATAAATAAAGTTTGCCGTGAAGCAATCGTCATTCAGTCCATGAAATTAAACAGTAACTGGTCACTTTTCTTGCATATAGCAACAAAAAACCTTGTATTATGGAGTGTATGAGATTCCGTTCAGTTGTTTCTATCAAGGATCCTGTGCCTGGTGGACGCTCGCTTACTTTGAGTCCAACGCCCTTGGTGCCAGTCTCCGTCAAGTCGCTGTCCTTTTCTATCAGCGCGATCCTGGGTTTGGAAGATGATATGAAACATCAAGATTTACCAAAGAACGGTGAGTTTCTCTTCATAGTATTTCGTTGATACTTGAACCGCAGTGAAAATCGTTAATGTCATAGCTATTAACTTAATTGAGAGCCCGTAACACAAAATATCTGCCATTTCATGCGTAAGCTGAGCAAAGTACTAAGAACGTCAGTTGCCTTCGTGGGACGAAACTATTTTGCATTTTAAAACCTGCGTTCTTATCCGAATACTCTTACGCTTTCTTGTTGACACGATTAATGTAATTGATCTAGCGCGTGCACATACACAACAAAATGTTGGCTTTTCTACACGGCTTGGCTTGCGAGAGACAAATAATCGTTTTTTGTCCTCGGAAAGTACCGGGGCCTAACGATTCTTTTATTTAGTTTGAATGCAGAGATCACCTTCTTTCTATACAGTGAATATGGACCAGTTTCAATCACAGAGTTAAAAATTATTACGGAAAGTGAGAGCATAGCTAGCACTCGTAAAAGATGTGGCCCCAGGACACTACGTGCCTGGAACATATTGTATCCCTGTCGACTAAATATGAGTGCCCTTATCATGAAACGTACATCAAATTGCTCCTTAACATTTTCTGCAATACTTCCGTTGTTGTATTTCT